TACCACTTACTATTAAATAAATAGGTAGAGATAAATTAATAATCTGATTGAAAATACAATTATACCATTATATAATCTAAATAAAAATATGTTATTAATATACATCAATATACAATCATCAAAATATAAAAAAAAAATTTGTCATCTCCATCCTATGTCATTGTTATTTAATTACTATAATTATCATACATTAATTAACTATCATCAAAATTTATTCAAACAGAGTATTACAAAAAAAAAAAAAAAAAAGAAAGGGAGGGTTGATTGTTGGGGAAATTTTAGTAGCTTAAGTATATATATATATATATATTCCTTAACTATAGGAAAAAAGAAAAAAAAAATGAGGGTTGATTGTTGGGGAAGTTTTAGGAGCTTTAAGTATACAAATATATATATATATAATTATATATATATTCCTCTACTAATTAAATACACACACACACACAACTATTTCTTGTGTGTTGAAAGTACCAAATGTAAATTCTACTAATTTATATTGATGATTTCATGTTATAATATTATCTACAATTAGATATACCCATGTGTAATGAAAACTAAATCAGCTAGCTGGTTCCTTTCCAGATTGACTCATCTACTCTTATCTGTTAGGAACAAAGTGTAAGTCTTTTTAAAATTATATCACCTTTTTATCTACACTATATTTTCCCCCTTATGAGGATAGCAAAATTACCAAAATACCCTGGTTGAATTCTGCAGGCAGCTCGTGTATAAAAAAGCAGTTGATGTAGAGCATGATGTATCTCTAGTGTTAATCAATAATAAACAATGTCCCGTTTCATGCGCAGAGCTTCCATGACTGATAGCTCATCTGTGGCCGCTGTCATGACGGACAGTGATCATGGAGATCCAGAGAAAGCCATCTCCGCCGATCAAAAACCTTCCAAAGGTGGCTGGAATGCCGCCATTTTCATCATCTGTAAGTCTGAGACTTTCCCTTCGAATTCCTTTTCAATATTTCTGTGTTACTTTCCAGATATATATGTACATGCGAAAGTTTTTTGTTGTTATTCGGAAATGGGTATTTGCCGATTGATTTAAATATTGGTTCGTCTCTCCTTGCATGAATATAATATATTCATGTGTGTATGGTTTGTAGTTGTGGAGATGGCAGAGAGATTTGCTTTCTACGGGCTGGCGGGCAATCTGATCACATACCTAACAACTGATCTGGGAGAAGGTGTTGCAGAAGCAGCCAAAAATATCAATACCTGGATTGGTCTCTCTGCTCTCTTCCCATTTTTCGGAGGCTTCCTCGCCGACTCTTTTCTGGGTCGATTCAAGACTATCCTCTTCTCCTCCTTCGTATACCTCACAGTAAGTTTACTTTCCTCTTCTGTCTTTTCATAATCCACTAAATTTCTTCAATAGTTTCTAACATAATATGACACCAATATAGTAATTTATTGGTTTACATAAAGAGTCCCAAGTTTTCTATCATCACTTTGTGGGTATAGTAGTATATGTTGGGTAATTGAGTTGTCTACTCCATAATACTTTTGTCTACTAGTTTCCTTATTGAATTCACTAGTTTCCTAATTGAGTTGTGGTTACCAATTTTGCTTTTTGGGGGCAAGATATTACAATTCTAGATTCCTTGTCACATACCCACCACAAATTATTCTTTTCTTCATTAAAAAAATTATTGTGCTTTGTGGGTGTAGTAATATGTGTTGAGTGTATATCTTAATTAACTAATGTATTTGATGAATTCGTAGTTACTAAATTGGGTTTCATCACATTGAAAGTATTACAATTTGGTAGTTAGTCCGTAATGCTTTCATTTACTAGTTTCCTAATTGGGTTGTGGTTATCAGCTCGCCTTTTTCCCAGCAGGATATTACAATTCAAAATTCCATGTCAGATACCCACTATGGATTATTCTCTTCTTCACTACTATAATATAACCTATCCATATGTCTACATACAAAAGAAGAGAGGTTATATATGTATGCATAGATGTGTGTGTGTGTGTGTATATATATGTAAAGTGTGAAATAAGGAGAGTTGATATTTTGACAGGGAATGGTGATATTGGTGTTGTCTGTATCGACAGTTGGTGAGCAATATAGGAAAGCAGTATTTTTCACAGGACTGTATATATTAGCGGTAGGTGAAGGTGGACACAAGCCATGCGTCCAGACTTTTGCTGCTGACCAATTCGACGAGACCAGCCCTGAGGAAAAAAACGCTAAGAGCTCCTTCTTTAACTGGTGGTATTTGGGGATTGTTTTCGGATCATCTGCAGCCATCCTAGTTGTCATTTATGTCCAGGTATATATATATATATATATGTCTATATGTATATGTGTATGTGCACGTACACATGTGCATGTACAGTTTTAGCAAGAAAGCAAGAAGTGGGTGTATATATATATATACACACTATATTCGGAATTTGTAGCTGCTACGAATATAATTCTTTTAGTTATATATATATATAACTATATATATATATAAACATAAATATTATTTTATTTCAATTAAAAAAATAATTTTTAATGAAAATATAAAATAGTGAAAGATCTGCATTATGAACAAAGTGTGGGGGGGAGAAAATAAGTAATTGAAAATTTATATACATATATAATTTTAGAATTTGTATTCAAACATATAAATTTCCACTTTCATTTTGTTTGTATATTTAAATAAATAAATACTGTATATTATATTATATATTAAATAAAAAGAAAGTTACTTTTTATATCGTAACATTAATTTTATTTATCATACATATATTAAATATTAAATAATTTATAAAAAAATGAAGAATTAAGGTGTATTAATTTACTATTTTAGTTACATATATATATATATGTATGTATGTATTGGTGATGAAATGACGTTGGAAATACATAAATACATATTGTATAATGTTGTAGGATCGTGTCGGTTGGACGGCAGGATTTAGCGTGCTTGCCGGGGCAGTGGGACTTGCATTGGGATTGTTTCTGGCCGGAGTAAGACGGTACCGGAAGCAAATTCCGGTGGGAAGTCCGGTGACCAAGATGGCGCAGGTGTTCGTCGCCGCCGCGAGGAAGTGGCGCGTCACAGAGACGCGCGGGATTTGTTACCAAGATGAAGAAGATGATGATAAAGGAACTACCCTGGCGCCTACCCATCAGTTCAGGTATATGTACATATATATATACATATATATATATATTTATATATGTATGTATATATGGTGTAATCCACATTCTGAAATATATTATTATAATTGAGTTCGTAGAGTGGAAATTAGGAGTTGAACATCTGTTGACCGGAGATATTTTATTTTACATAAAAAAAAAATATAGGGGAAGAATGCACGAAGAATCTTTAACTGGCAGCTGATTAATTAATTAATTAGAATAAAAACATGAAGTGTTGACATGATTAATCGAGGTTCCTAATTTGTGTGAAATGAGACAAGATCCTATTCCATAGCATCCAACTTCGTGCATATATATATATATATATATATATATATAAACTCATTGATTTTATACAAATCCTCTGTCTTGCATTTCTTCATACAGATATATATATATATATATGTAGGTGGGTCTGGAATAATACATAATTGGGTCTTCTTCTCACATGCTTGAGGGACAACCCTTATAAATGTGATTCTCTAATGTACATATACATATATACATATATACATATATACATATATATATTTATATCATTATTTACTAAGATACTCAGTATGCTTACTTCTCTTATATTATTTTCCATGCACATCTATATACAACTGGGACTGCATACTTTTATTAAAGTTGATTGGATTAAACTGCAGGTTTCTGGACAAGGCAGCGATTATCGATAACACAGACAACTCGAACAAAACCAGAAACCGTTGGCGATTATGCTCGATGAACCAAGTGGAAGAAGTAAAGCTTGTCATTCGTCTTATACCCGTATGGTTATGTTGCCTGATGTTTAGCGCTACACTGGTTCAGCTACACACGTTTTTCACCAAGCAGGGAAGTACAATGGTAAGATCCATTGGGTCGCACTTTACCCTTCCCGCAGCTTCTATCCAGTGCCTTATAGGTCTCACCATTCTCGTCTTTGTCCCCATCTACGATCGAATTTTCATCCCTGTCATAAGAAAAATAACCGGACACCCATCAGGATTAACCATCTTGCAGAGAATAGGAGTTGGTTTATTTCTGTCGGTGCTCAACATGGCTGTCTCCGGTCTCGTCGAGGCCAAAAGGGTTAACGTAGCGAGAGACCACGGCCTGACGGACATGCCGAGAGCGATAGTGCCCGTAAGTGTATGGTGGTTACTTCCCCAGTACGTTATCAGCGGAATCGCTGATGTTTTCACCGTGATTGGACTGCAAGAACTGTTTTACGATCAAATGCCTACTGGAATGAGAAGTTTTGGCGCTGCGGCTTATATGGGCGTGATTGGGGTTGGAAGCTTTCTCAACAGTGCAATTATATCCGTCGTGCAATCCGTCACCTCAAAACATGGGGATAAATGGCTGGTTGATAATCTTAATCGAGCTCATCTTGATTACTTTTACTGGGTCTTAGCAGGATTGAATGCTTTGAATCTGTGTGTTTACATATGGATTTCTAAGGGGTTTGTGTACAAAAAAGTGCACTGGGAAGATCAGACAGAAGATGAGGAATTGAGCTCCTCTAATGGAAGCATGTGAACTTTATTGTATAATCAACTTCGCAATTTGCTCGTTACAAAAATTAAACTTTGATTTATGTTAAAATCAAAATTTGTAGTATAAATATTTATGCTGCAAATTTGTCTTTTTTTTTAATAGAATTTATACATAACTTACGAACTACTAACTAGTCGAAATTTATAGAAATCGATTCAAATAGAAATTCTTTGCTTACATGTCTTAAAAACTTAACACAACGGCGAAGAACATCAAATTCGAGAACTTAATTTGACTCTTATACCGTGTGACTACTCTTTCGTAGCTAATTTACTTCGAAAATATTAATACGGTCCGAAAGTTTTCATATTATTTTTATCAGGATAATTATAATATTTTGTTGGAAATATTATGTTAAATTATAATTAAAAAAATAAAAATTGAGAAATATTTTGATACGAGCAAACAAAATCTTAGTTATCAATTTGATTTTGTTTTGATACAAAGTAATGATGGAGGATATTTAGATACAAATAAAGGTGGTTTATATCCTTTTGATAGGGAAAGTTTGATTTATCTTGAAAATGACATTTGCTACGTAAGTCTACTCTCTTATACATGGGTTAGGTGTTGAAATGATATATACATACATATATATACACACACACACATATAAACATCGTGTGTTTATATATATATATAGGTGGGTTAGGCGTGATTTTGAATTAAATTCAAAGATAAGTCTCCTTTGGCAAGGGCTAGGTTGAACTAGCCCTTTGGCATGCCATTTGCTACGTAAGTCTACTCTCTTATACATGGGTTAGGTGTTGAAGTAATATATACATACATATATATATACACACACACACACACATATAAGCACACATATATATATGTGGATTAGGCGTGATTTTGAATTAAATTCAAAGATAAGTCTCCTTTGGCAAGGACTAGTTTGACCCATATGCCGTGCCAAAGGGCTAGGTTGAACTAGCCCTTTGGCATGCCATTCGCTACGTAAGTCTACTCTCTTATACATGGGTTAGGTGTTGAAGTAATATATAAATACATATACACACACACACACATAAACATATATATATATATATATTTGGGTTGGGCGTGATTTTGAATTAAATTCAAAGATAAGTCTCCTTTGGCAAGGGCTAGTTTGACCCATATGCCGTGCCAAAGGGCTAGGTTGACCTAGCCCTTTGGCATGCCATTTGCTACGTGAGTCTACTCTCTTATACATGGGTTAGGAGTTGAAATAATATATACATACACACACACACACACACATATAAACACGTATACATATATATATATATATATATGTGGGTTAGGCGTGATTTTGAATTAAATTCAAAGATAAGTCTCCTTTGGCAAGGGCTAGTTTGACCTATATGCCGTGCCAAAGGGCTAGGTTGACCTACTTGCCCCTAAAGTAAAGTTAGGTCCACATCTTTTGAGATTTTGTTGACTTAATATAATGAAGAAAATATAAAACTCCCATAATTTTTGGACTAATTTCCTGAATTACGACTTTGATTATTATAATCATTAGTTTTATTATAAATTGTGTTTATATATGTTATTTTATTATTCCATATAAATTAATATTTTTTGAATATTACCCTGTTAATTTTTTGAAAAGTTTTTATCAATAAATATAATTTGAGGGATAGAAATTTATGTTCAATTTATAAATTTTATGTAAGTAATTAATTATTTTATTATTAAATTGTAATAATCACATAGTTGAATGGAGTAAGTAATGACTTATATGTAGCTACATAATATATATATATATATTTTATTTATTATGTGAGAGTTTTATTTGTATTTAAACTAATAAATTAATGAAAAGACTATTAAAAATAAAGTAAAATATTAATTTCTTAATTTTAAGATTTTAAAATTCATAAACTAATTAGGGGAGGATTTCTTGTAATAAATTAGGGTATATATTTACAACTTATAACTTCATTATAATACCATTTGTAAAGCTAAAACCCATGAATCTAAAGCTAAAACCCAAAATCAAGATGGTCAGAAGAAGGTTTGGGAGACAAAACAAGAAAATAAGAGAAAATTATTAATATATTTCTGCTATTCACAGTGATAAACAAGAGAAATATGAACTGGCTCATAATTGCAAAAAAGGAGCAAGTTCATACAGGAGGCATTTGGTTTTTGTATATAACACCTAAAAGTAGCAGCTTTGTATTTCCTATTCAAATTCTTACTCCTAGCTTACCATGTTCTCTGTTTCCTCTAAAACAGGTTTCTGCTGGTTTCCACTTGAGCGAGGTTTCCTAAAGTACTTTCCGATGAATTGTTCCGCGATGTCCGGATACTTTCCCTTGATGAAGTTATCCAGACATTTGCGGTACGAAAAATCTTGCTTCCGACCATCTGTAGAAACAATGTAGAAGCACCTGCTATCCTGAAAATTGCTGTGCCGACTTACCTGCGTCACATCAGAGCACGCGTTAAAAGGTAAAATAAAATTGCCACAAGAAGCCTTCAGCTACTAAATATGTCCCCTTCACCACAAGTACTGCAAGTAGACCAGGCCTTGTCAAGACATTAAAAGAAATTATATCGTCCCCCGACCAGTACTGCTCTGCTATATATCAAGAAGTACCATAAGAGGTCTAATCATGCATATTCTCTTGCATCACGCCAACAAAAGTCAAATAAATAAACCAGCGGTTCCAGACAAGATCAAATGATCTAGAGGCAGAAGTTCCACGAAAAATAAAATAAATAAACCAGAGGTTCCAGACAAGATCTACTGATCTAGAGGCAGAAGTTCCACGAGAAAGAAACCAATAGCTGGATGTAGGTTTTCCATTAAACTGTGTTAGGATTCCCTATTGAACAAACTAAATCTCATTTTTCATTGTGGACTAACTATCCATGAGATCTCAGGAAAATGAAAAAAGCCATCGGAGCTTGCTAGCCCGATAATATGTCCAATTTCCAATAAAGATTGGTGTTTGTCTATATGATATGGATGTTTCAATCCACTTTTCAAAAAAGTGATGTTGGCTGTGAAACTTTAAAAAAAAAAAAAAAAGTGACCTGAAGCGCAAGAATGTGCAGACAGTAATTTGAAGCAAATTGAATTAGTTCAATCCATAATTGTAAGTTTGAAAAGCATTTTGCAAATCTTAGTTTTCTTCTGCAGTAAAAATCAACTACAGCACAGGTGAAAAGCTTGAGATAAGCACACACATCAAGTATAAATCATTGACAACAAAACTACACCAAAGTATAGTTAAGCTTACAGTTACAAAATCAATGCCAGCGCCCATTTTTACTGCTCTATCAGGATGATACATGAAGACTTTGTCTATTACAAATGACTGGTCATCAACGGATAGTGGATCCCCATCATTGTACCTTCACAAAGGAATTTTCTTTCAGAAGTTCTGTAAGCTGTAAATGCGGTATAACAGCAGATAAAGATAAAGCAGGCACACAAGAATATAAAACAGTACTTGAAATTATGCATAAAATTTTCTCTCATCACACTCTAATCTCAGACAGGTTAATCTGTGAGGATATTACCAGTAAATAATTTTAAAGAACAAAGAATGCATATTCATTTAAACTTACCCAGACTGATGCATTATTCGTCTGATTGACTGCATAAGTGGCTCAACATCTGACAGAACATCCTGCTCCTCAGAAGTGAACATATCTAACCGTTGCCTCGTATGAGTATACAGCCTGCCTGCACCAAAATCATCTTTCACATTTCCAGCTAACTTACCAGGCAGGTTTTTCTTGCCTTTCCAATCTCCAGAATTTGAAGACCAACCCCGTGAACCTTCATTTCTTTTTTTCTTGGAGAACTCCCAGGTACGTCTTCCCTGACTCTCATTTTGAGTAATATCTTCATTGTTTGGTAAACCCCAACCATGACAACCAGCAGGCTCAGTGGACTCCGACAGCACACCCCAACCATCGGAAGTTCCTGTTGGTGTTTGTTCCCAGGAACCATCTCCAACAGTCCCAGCATCCAATCCATTAGACTTTGATGAATCCCCTTCCGGCAGGACGCTTCCATTGATAGAATCATCTCTTGCCCAGCTAGACCACCCTTTTTCTTTTCCTGTATCGTTATCATTATTTTCCAACATTGTAGCATACGCATCTTGGTTATCACCCTTATTGCTGTTCCATTTAGACCAAGTACTTTGCTCCTTGAGATTAGTCTCACATCTGCTAAATTTATTACTTCCCCAACCCCCAAAATCAGAAGATTCCTCTTGTGCCTTCTGGGGATGAGTACCTTGGCTATTACCTTTATTAGTCTTCCAATTGGACCAAGGACTTCCTTCACCAACATTGCTCTCACCATTACCAGATTTTTTACTACCCCAACCACCTGCTTTTGAAGATTCCTCCCACGTTTTTGTTGCAGTGAAATCTTGGCTACCACCTTTTACTGCTGTCCAATTTGACCAATTGTGTTCTCCCTTAGCATTAGTCTCGCCACTGCCACATTTATCAGCAACCCAACCACAAGATTTGGGAGAGTCCTCACTGGCTTTTGTGGGATAGCTGCCTTTGGTGTTCCAATTAGCCCAGGTATTCTGACTATCTAGGTTGGTCTTATCGCTGCCAATTACACCAGTCCCCCCAGCAGAGTTTAAGCATTCCTCCAGGGTTTTAGTGGAGCAGACATCTTGGCTATGAGCTCTATCAGTGCTCCAACTAGACCAGGAGCTCTGTTTCTGAAGGTCAGCCCTACCATTGTTAAGATGTTCCCAACTTGGTTTGGTAGGCTGAGTCTCTAAGTTTTCTAAAATATCTTCACCATCCTCAAAGACAGGCTTACCACTAGTTGAATAATGCTCTGGAGATGGACTCCAGTCAAAAGTTTCTTCATCTGGCACAAGATCATCAATTTCTTCACCTAGACAGGCTGTACTCAAATCCTCTCCATGGGAACTACTTCTCACCATATGAAGAAATGTATAAACATCAAGTTTACCCCCTTCATTGAATCTCGCCTGGAAGGGGAAAGAAACATGAAATTGACATGATTATGTAGGATACTGTTGAAACCCAATAGGACAACCTGAATCTAGGAAACTTTAAAGCTTCAAAATGAAATGCACCTCTTTTGTGTCCCAGAGAACATCAAATCTAGAACCTGTACCAACTGCCACATTCTTTCCCCAGGAACAGGATCCAACTACGCTTGACAAAGAATCAGTATGACACTTCTCAGCAGCTCTCTCGAAACATTTCCTTGGTGTCTATGCAACCATATATAAGTAGAATTTGGTTTCAAGGGACTGCAAATAATCTAACATGAAAATATGACAAACCAAGAAGATATCAGACCCAAATTAATAACTTACAAATAAAGTTGCTTCCATGAATGGTGCTTGGATATTCAATGAACGAGATATTGCTTTATAACCACCGGGATTGAATCCAACCAAATTTCCAGCACATGTCATACTGTTTGCTAATAGAATGAGATGCTCCCTCAAAACACCTTTAGCTACCATCGCCACCGATGTTGACAGGCGCTGAAACATAAACCATAAAACTGAATGTTCAAAGAGGAAGTAGACATTTGAAAATTGCATAAACAATTTCCTTTGTTGATCTGACCAACAGAATATATAAATAAAACCAATGGAAATGGATGATAAATAAAATGGAATGTCTTTGGTAGTACTAAACATCCTTCTAATTTATCATGATTTTGTTAGTATTTTTAAATTATTTCAAACTTCAGAACATATTAGCTAGATTTAAATTGAGTACGGCGTAGAATATTGAGAAACTAAATTCTTTTTTTTTTGCAGGACGAAAAATGTTTTTATTTTATTTTTATTATTTTAGTTTTCTAATTTGATTGCTAGTACTATGTATTGGTATCAACATAAAGATTAAATTAGTTTATCAACTGGTACTTTTAGATTGTTCTTTTATTAACGTTGGACAAGTAGCAGTTAAAACCTACCTACTGCACAGATAATTTAGAAATAGAGAAATATGGGTGAACATAGTCGGCCAAAAGAAATTAGGGATCAAGGTGAAAAAAATATAGAGAAAAATATAATGAGCATGATAGATACGTAGAGTAACATCTAGAAGAACAGATACAATGAGAGATAATAGAGAATAAAATTCTAACAAAGAAATTCTTAACCCATCATATTATCTATTCTCTTTGTTGGTAGCTACTAGTCTTTATGTAAGCATTAGTTTCAAGTAAAAAGGAAAATTATAAAAGAGGAAAGATATAAAATTATAATAATTCCTATAATATAAAATATATCGAGAGGAAACCTAAACTATTATAATGCCTCAACTCATTAAAAAAATTATTAAAAAAAAATATAACAAAATTCTAAAATCTTATAATATTTAGGAGTAAACAACCAATTTAGTCTTCCAACTTTGACCAATGTAACAATTTAGCCCTAGAAGTACTTTTCATTACATTTTAATCACCAAACCTTTAAGCTTGTTCAAAAGCACAGACACTGTCCAAAACCAATTTCTCATTTTGCTCTCAATCTCAATCGCTCATGGTATCCAAAACACCAATTTTTTCCATCCCCTCTTCCTTGATTCTTCATCATCTCCACTAACCCTCAATTAGTAGGCTGGTTCTAGGACTTTGATCAACAGGAAAGAGCAACCATTGATGATGATGACTAAGTGAAGAGAACGTTAAGACACATAAGTCGTGAAGCAGGAGAATGAAGCCAAATAACAAGATGGAGGTGGTCACAACAGAAACGATCTTTAATCAGGAGAATGGAGCTGGCATGTCTAGGTGTTTCCGAGGGCGCAGAAAGAATAAGGGGAGAGAAGAGACCTGTGGATGGCGACAGCAAAATTGTGTGATGAACCAAACACTAAAGGTTAAAAATTGGGAACTGAAAGGGTTTCAAGTGGTGGTCTAAGGTTTCACATAAAGGGAGCTTCAGGTTTCTTCATTCTTCTTCTAGGTCAAGAGAAAGGAGAGAGCCTACTCGATTTTGAGGGAAATAAGGAAAGAATCAAAGGAATACGGAGAGTGGTTAAGATTTTTAAATCGGGATTCCTTTCTTCTTCTTCGGGTATGGTGTGCGGCACAGGGAGTGAAGGAGAAGAAATTGAAAGGAGATAGAGGTGGTTTTGGAAGTAACTTGGGCAAAGACTTGAATTGAAAAAGCTAGGGATTGGATGATTACTTAAGAGAGATTTTCTGGGTTTTCTTTTCTTTTTCTTTGTTTATTTTCGGGTATTAAATTGAGGGTGAAAGCAAAGAGAGTCTTGATAGAAGTTGTCTAAGGTGTAATTTTGTTACGGGCCCTACATATACATCTTGTTATGGGAGATAAAAATTGAAATCAGTAAGAGATTTCAGTGTTACCTATCTTGGTCTAAGTATGGGCATTAAGAGAGGACCCAAAGTCTCTTGAGTAAGAAAGTACTTAATATACTTGATAAAGTTTTCTTCCATCATAAATCTATCCAAAAGACGGCAATAGTGTTTTATTACAAGAGGAGAGAGTAGTTATTTTGAAATATAAAGTATCAAGTATATATTGATATTGGCAACAAGGGGGTGCTAGCACATGTACAAAAAATTACAAGTCAATCAAAGTATCAATAAAGTCCATTAAATTCTTCATTGAATGAAGAGGATGACCCAATAAAAAAAAAAACCGAGTCTAGAACCATTTACTATTAAGTCAAATCCATTTACATCGCTTATCTCATCAAAAGTCTTTTTATTCCTCTCATTCCATACTACCAAAAGATGGTGTTGATTACCATATTTTATTATTTAATTATTTTATTAATTTATTATTTGATATTATGTAATTATAACTTTATGAGAATAATAATCTCATATAATTAAAATGCTACTAGAATAGGAATTTCTCTATCTGTAGGTTATGTAACTAATTTATGTTTCCTTTTATTACCCTAAGAATGTGTATATATAGGGCCCTCTAATTCAATAATACATACAGCACTCATTCTTCCACAAGTTTAAAGAACCAATCCTTCTTAAAGATAAGAACCAGAATCACAAGTTGAATATGAGACTTCATACAAGAATATCAAAACGAGCACTACTTTTTATTTAAAAAAAAAAAGAATATCAAAACAAGCACAAGGCTTTAGAAAATGCTTCTTCTTCGTCAAAAGAATCGAAGATTGGAGAGGCATTACAAACATCAGTGAAAGCATTTTTAACTGTTAGGTATGGTCTGTAGGCAGGGGCAGTAAAATTTATTTTTGGACTGACTGATGGTGTGGCTCCTCCAATCTCCAGAACCGATTCCCACTAATTTATGCGATCTCCAGAGACAAGAATATGCTGGTAGAAAAAGCTTTTGATGTTGAACATGGAAGTGGATGGAACATTGCAGTTAATAGGAATTTGCAACACTGGGAGGTTGAAGAATATCAAAATCCGTTATCAATCCTAGCCAAGTTTCAACCCACCAATAAAGAATATCGATAAGCTTCACTGATATCTTGGTAACAATGGCAAACTTTTGGTCAAAACATTCTACTATTATCTGGCTGGCCAAAATGGGGTAAGGAATTCTGATTTTCCAGCAAAAATTATTTGGAAGACCAATGCCCGCCCCCCCATTTCCTTTTTTGCTTGGGAGTCAGCAAGAGAATGGATCCTTACCATCGACAATCTTATGAAAAGAAGTTTAACTTTAACCAATAGATGCTTCCTTTGCAAAGAAAATGCAGAATCTTGTATTCATCTCCTTCTCTAAACTTTCACTCAAAATTTATGGACCATGGTCTATGAGCTCCTTGGTATTAAATGGGTTATTGCAGCTCTATAAAAGAAGAATTGAAGGCTTGGGAATTCTCTGCAAAGGAAACTTATTCCTCTCTATGCCAAGCACCAGACGGCATGTTTAGTTTTGTAAAAGCATCCTTCAGCAAAATCTCAAGTAATAGAGAGAAAAATAGAAGAGGAAGGACCCTACAAGAAAGATATAAAACAAGCAAAGGCCATTTTCACTTAGCAGAAAAGGAGAGAATATTTATTACTTTATGACTCGGCAAAAGGAATACAGTGAACATACTAAACTCATAAATAAGAAAAATATCAACTGAGATATCTGAATCGATTTGCTACCAGAGTTTCGGCATAACAAACTTTTGATACAGGCTATTATAGGAAACAAATAATGGTGACAAACACAACCTAAATGTCATCATAGCAGTTAACACCACCCCAAAGAAATCACATGAGAAAAGTATATTCAGTACAGCACATCAATAAAGAGGTTATACATGCTTCTGCAATGATATTTTAAAGAGTACATTCCCAGAAAGCTACCTAAAGAATTTTCCATTTTATCTGACAGCTTCATGCAATAGGAAGAGTAGGTTGATGTAGGAAAAGAAAAGACTGAAGCAGGAGAAAGGAAGAGAAGGTCCTGATACCTGGACTGCCTGATCAAATGCGCATGAAATTCCAAGGAGTTCCTGAACCTGCTTGGTTGAGTACGGTATTGAGCGCCTAGAATCAATTAAGTGGAATACTGGAAGACAGGAATCCATCACGATCCTCCATGCATCTCCACTTCGCTTTACCATTGATTTCTCGACAACAACATCCAACACCCATTCCCCTTTGCGGGTTCTGCTGGGTTTCCTTATCCATGTCATCGTATCAGGACTAGCCCAAATTATGTTTGCCGAGCAAATCCGAGGATCACCTATTAATTAAAGTGGCAGAAAGAATCAGAACATATATGACTAGCTGAAGAACATGAAATGTCCAGTATCAGACAACTTGGGCAAGAGTTCATTGTATATTAAGGGGAATCTAGGAAGTAAGCCTGGGTAAAACTTTGGTATTTCTAAGGAAAATCTAACAAGTAGTCCAACAGAATGTGTCTTTAACCCACAACCTCAAGCCCCAGAGAAATGCAGCCAGCATATTGACATGGGCCAGTATCAAAAGAATAATATCAATATGGGAAACCATAGAAATACAACCTCAGATGAAGAAGGGAAAAGAAAAGGAAACGGAAATGAAAATGAAAAGATGGAGGTACGAAGAAGGAAGACCAAGATTTAAAAAGAAAAGTAAAACCCAAAACACAAAAACACGACTTTTTTGTGCACCACCAGTTACTATGGGAATGACAAGGAAGCTCTCTTTCAGGAGCAACATTATATTGATCTTCTGCAGCGTTGAATATCTAAAAATTATGAATAAAAGGAATTATCCATCAGACATCAGAATATTAGAGAAATATTTACAAACAGATTGCTGAATGAGAGAACGAGAGGGAAGCCTACAAAACAAGGAATTGGAGGCAGATATCAAATATAAAATTGTTTCCCAATTACTTTGCACAATTGATAAAGATAACCGAAAAAGAAGGAAAACCATGCTTCTTTTTCTCGTAACAAATATCATTAGAAAGTGAAAAAAGCTGTTAAAAACAAGATTGAGAAAATAAGGTATCATCTAATTACAACAAGAAAGTACAAGGAGATACAAGTACGAAATTAAGACAAAATAGCCATGCAATTGCTTGCAAAGTGAATAAGACCTCCTCCAAAGGAATGGTGAATACTAGCCCAAAGAAAATAAAAGAAAAAAGACAAATATTCCCTACTCATGTGCAACAGCTGAAATCATCGCTTTAGATCCTAAAATTGCTTTTCAACCATATGATCCATAACCCCATAAGAATATCACCCCCAAGCAGCAATCTGCACTCCTTAGTCCTCCCAAGACTATGGAAATCAGTAAGGGACGGTAAGCAATCGGGCGTTTTCACGTGTATGAGAGCCGCATGGCAGAAACTCCATGGATATGTTCAGTTCAAATGGGGTTTGGACCATTCAGTGAGGTATTGGAAGGACATTTGCAGCGGCCCTACACCCTTATGTAATCCATTCCCTGATATATTCAGCATTCCTAACCATAAGGATGTTATTGCGAATGAGTGTTACGGACATGTACCTAATCAAGTAGTCTGGGACAAAAATCTGGCTCTAGAACACTAATGAAGGGAACTTGAAAGCTCAACCACTCTCCTTCAGTGTTAGCCCTCCTCAGTTGTTGATCTAGATTCCTGATGATCAATCAGTTTAGAAACTGAACATGTATAGATGATTATCTGCCAAATCTGTTTATAACTATCTTTTAGGAAGAGGCTGTGAACAGGTTGCGTATCCTTGGAATCAGAACTGGAAAAAAGAAAATCACTCTTAGAATTTCCTTTCTCACTTAGGAGGCTGCATGGCACAAAATTCTTATGATAGACAACTTCAGTGAGATAAGGACAATCTTTGTGGATGTGTGTTATTTGTGACTAGATGCAGCAAAATCTGATCATTTGCTTTTATAAGTGCCCTTTGGCCTATTTGTTGGCGAACACCAGGCTTCAGTTCCTAAACATTAAGTGGGTGATAAAGAATTCAGTTGCTAATGAATTGTGGGCCTGGAAAGCCATGAAAGCTAGAAAAAACCATGAGAAGACTATTGCACTAATCCCTTTGTCTGCCCACAGGTTATGGGGGAGGAGAGAAACAGAAGCGCGTTGATAGAATGTGTTCTAGTCTTGCTAGGATCAAAGATCATTGGCTCCATACCTTGATCTTTT